GGAGCGTCGTACGGGGCCACGTTGATCACCTCCTTCAAGAGATCGACGTCCGTGGCCACGGAGAAGCGAAACGTCTTCTTCGTCTTGGTAGGCGGCTCGTCGCTCATACGTTTTGCAGGTCAAAACTATGAATGGCGCTCGTGTTATCGATATCGGGATAGAGCGGCTGGAGCCTGATTTTTTTGGTCCGGATTTCATGTTTCGGAGCCCTCGGACATGTCACATGGGTAACATAATCAAGATATCATGGTAGCAAAAGCAGTCTATTGTTGACAGCTCCTCACGCCACGTAATCGGCCGTGTCGTGTAGACAGTTGATGATGGAGTCATACTGTATTGGAAAGTGGCTACTGCGCCAAACATGGACGCAGTCAACGAAGAACGATCGCGCGACTCGCAGCGTCATAGCTTGGCTTTGCGGACCGTCCACGTGGGAGGATTCTTTCGTGGACAGGCGGCGCCGATTTTTGTCCCCGCGGGCGCCGCGTCGTGGCCTGCGTGGCGCGCATGCGATTGGCGACGGCTCGGATGCTTGCATCCGTCGCATCTGCGTGCACGCGGTGCTTGCGAAGGCTGCTTGGCGCGGACACGCTTTCGCGCCATGATGAAGTCTCAAACTGGTCGTAATCATGATGGCGCATGGTATTCCATATCCAACTGCAAACGCCCATATATTACCCCAGCTGGTCGCCACGCGTGCGGGTGGCTTGGGTCGGTTGTTACGCGCACGCTGGCTCGCGCAACGCAAAATGGCGCGGCAACGACCGCGCATGGTGGCACGCGTCGCCGTGTCGCGTCCATGTGCCGTTTTGATATGGTTCTTGCGATAATAAGATATGGACAAAACGAAGTTCGAAGACCAGAAGTGGCATTAGACATGGCGTGTCCAAGCTGTTCTTGAAGGCGCCTGGCGCATCATTCAGCCTTCTCTCCACGACGCACATGGCCGACGACGGCTTCTTCCCGGTCTGGACCTCGGTCTACCTCGTCGTGCTCCTCATCTCGCTAACTGCCACGTCCCTCGCTGTGTGGTCGCTCAAGCGGTCGCTCTGTGCCATCCAGTCGTGTGTCTACTATGCGACGCTCTGGTACTTTGTGTGGAAGTCGCTCTTTGCGCTGTCGCGGACCGCGCTCATGTGTGCGTTCCTCGCCGAGTTCCGCGCGCCCTCGTCGCCGTGGCTCAACCGCACCGCGGCCAACGACGTGGGTGGCCTGCGGCTGCTTGGCCAGCGCACGTACAATGCGACGGGCGACTCGAGCATTCCCGTCCCGACGTACGTGGTGTGGATCTTGTTCCTTGGCGACGCAGCGTTACTTTCGGGTGTTCTATGGATGCTCATCTTGGTCCTCGAGCTTACGCGCCTCGCGGTACGAGGCCACTTTGCACTTTTTACGAGCAAGAATGTGGCGATCTTTGGAGGCTCATGAAAAGAGGATGTGTAGAAGAAGACAATGGACCGCGGACCGCTTCGTGAGAAGCAAGTGCGCCGCAACTACCTCGTCTCGACGACGCTCATCGTTGCGCTCTACTTTGTCGTACGTACTACCTTGCGCGATCGCTCGCCACACAACAGAATGCTGTATAGCTCTGCCAAGTGCTCTCGAAAGGCGGTCTCTTCTCCAACAACACCAAGCTCATCAACATCGTTTCCAACATCATGCAGACCATCGTCATCATCGCGGTCGCGTTTGGGTACCTCGAAAGCACCACGCAAGCGCTCATGCCATTGTAGCATGGTGAGCCTGCGCCAACACGGGCAAAAGTTTGAAGGCGTGAGCGGCGAGATCGAGCAGTCACCGCTCTACAGCCGCCTCAAGCGCATCTTGTATCGTGTTGCTACGTCCGCTCGTATCTGACCTGTGCGTAGGATCGTCTTTATGATGTTTTCGCTGCCGTTCACGGTCGTCAACTGGTACGGCGTCTCGGCGGCCGGCGACGCGGCCGAGGAGATTCCGGATGCGCTCCTGGGCATTACACAGCTGCTCTACTTTGCGTCCGGTCTCTTTTTCGCCCTTGTCATGGTCGCGAGCCAAGACTGCTTCAGCGCCTGCATGCGGTCGCGCGACGCGACACGGACACGCAGTCGGTACGGCGACTGGGCCGCCTCGGTTGCGCACGCGCCGATGCAAAACCCGGTCTTTGTCAACACGGACATTGAATCGTCGAGCTACCTCTGGGGCCAGCTCGGGCAAACCATGCACGCCGCGCAGGAGCTCCACGACGACCTCCTACGGTCGCTGCTCGTCAAGCACCAAGGGTACGAGATCACGACGTGCGGCGACGCGTTCCAACTCGCGTTCCACTCGATCCCAGATGCCGTCGCCTACTGCCTCGACGTCCAGTTGCAGCTCTTGCACGTGCCGTGGCCGATCGAGTTGATCGAGTCGTATCTCGCCGGCAGCATCACGGTTGCAATGCCCAAACCATCGGTGCTTCCGACGCGCCACAAGCACCCGTACCTCTTTCGTGGTCTCCGCGTGCGCATGGGCATCCACGCGTCGAGCTCCGAGGAAGGCCAGCTCTTCACCAACGTCCACCCGGTGACCCAGCGCACGACGTACGTGGGTTTGGCCGAGATGATTGGTCGCGAAGTCAGCGACCTCGGCAGCGGTGGCCAGATCATCGTGACGGCCCGCGTCGCGCGCTTCCTACGCGACAAGATCGAGAGCCAAGACGGCTGGTGGCACGAGAACCCGTGCTTGATGCAGGATCTAGGTACACCGCGCATAGGAACGGACGCGACTCATGCTATCATGGTGCGGTTAGGTGTCTACCGCATCAACGACCTCAAGATCGACTTGGGCATCGCAGAAGTGGTGCCGCTCGCGCTAAAAGACCGCGCGCGGCTCTTCCCCGAAATTGGCAACGTCCGAAGCCGCAAATCGTACCGGCGCCACGATAGCACCGCGTACGATCTCTTGATGTCTCCTGCCGACCCGTGCGAGTCCCTCCGCGGCGTCGAGTGCTAAGTTATAAGCGTCCCATTATTAGCGCATCAGTAAAACTAACATGACTAAGTTAATATTATGAATCTCGACCCGATGCGTTGATGTACCGGTAGTATACATGTAGCGCAACAAGATCTTAGTACAGGTAGGTCGAGTCTTTCGTCTGTATTTCGCAAGGTGATAGCACTCTGGGGTTTTGGCTCAGGTCCATTTCAGGCGAGTATGACGTACACCCAACACGAAGGACAATAGTACTATATGTGCCGTGAACAATATGTGCAAAAGTCCTTTGGATAGACACAAGGGTGATAGCATTTTTTCACTTCAAGGGACTAGGCCAATGTAAGCGAAAACACCTCGTTGCTGCGCGTCTCGTGGACATCTTGGCCGCCAAAGAGCAAGACGGTCTTGGTACCTTCGTCGGCGACCACCGCGCAGTGGCCGACGCGCTGCATGCCGTCCATTGATTCCATTTTCACTGGCTTCCACTCCCACGTTTCCGTGTTGAGCGCAAACACATCGCCAAACAGCGTTGTTTTCTGTGCGCCGACCTGCGGGTCCCAGCCGCCGTGAACGAGGATCGTCGACGCGTCGAGAGCCACGGCGGTTTGGCCCGTCCGGGGCGCGGGGCCGACACCGACCGTGCACGGGTGGAACCAAAACCACGCATTGTCCGCGGGCCGGCGTTCGAGCACGTGCACCGAATCGAAGCTGCGCTTGGTGTCGTTGCCGCCAAAGAGGACCATGCGATGGTTGCCAATCGCGATGGCCGAGTGGTAGTTGCGGGCCGCAGGC